AATTTTTAGAGACTTTTGTAGAATTCAAAAGACTTGAAAACTTTCATTTGAGATATAATTTAGTGGAAATTACATACAACCAGAATTTTAAAGATCACAATTCAAAAATCAGATTTTAAGTTTATTTATACAAAAACCTTATTTCTCTCTCTTCCCTCTCTCCACAAATGGATTGTCATTCCGCCATCGCAGCAGTCAACGACCACCTCCAAGCTTTGTGTACAGCATGGAACACCATTGTATGCCACTATTCGTCTCCTGTATTTATCTTCGTCATGTCCCGTTTCTCTCCTATGGTGTGGCAGTGCACAGCGGTTGGTGGTTCACGACAGCAGTCTAGCTGTGAAATGATGGGGGTTTGGCCGGATCTGGTGGCGATCTACAGTAGCGAAGATATGGCCGTTAATGATGGGGTTTGGGCGGAGCTGGTAGCGCCGCGATGGTAAGAAGGGGTTGGGGATGGCGGTGGTACAATTGTTGGGTGAGTTATGTGATGTTGTAGGTGTGGCAGTGGTGGTTCTATGATGCTTGGGTGGGGCAGTAGTGCGGTGAGTTCTGTGATGCTGTGGGTGTGGCGGTGGTGGTTCTTGCATGTGGTTCACGGTAGCAGTCTGGCCGTGAAATGATGGTGGTTTGGCCGAATCTAGTGGCGACCTGTAGTAGTGATGATCTGGCCATGAATGATGGGGGTTTGGCTGGATCTGGTAGCGCTGTGATGGTAAGAAGGGGTTGGGGGTGGCAGTGGTACGATGGTTGGGTGAACTGCGATGTTGTGGGTGTGGCAGTGGTGGTTCTATGATGTTGTGGGTGGGGAGGTGGTGCGGTGGGTTCTGTGATACTGTGGGTGTGGCGGTGGTGGTTCTGGCGTGTGGCGGTATTAGTGGCGTTGCTGCTGATGACAGTGGTGATGAGGTGGTGGTCATAAGTGTTTGTGGTGGTCATAAGTGTTTGCTTGGCTGTGACCTTTAAATTGGGTAACTCGTGACCAATCAACAATATGTGTTGGTGGTGATCACAAATGATTTGCTTGGCTGTGACCTTTAAATTGATTAACTCGTGACCAATCAACAATATGTGACTAATAAATTGTGACAAAACAAAAACATGCGACCTAAAAAATTGCTAATTTGTGACAGATAATTTGACAATTTGTGATTGTCTACTAAGTTGTGACTTATAATATTTGTGATTTGTGACCGATGAATAAAGAAATTTTTTTATTTGTGACCGATGAACAAATTGTGACTTATAAAATTTCTGAATTGTGATCGTAAAATAATTTGTGACCTACAAAGTTTTTTATTTGTGACGTATAAAATTTCTGACCGATGAACAAATTGTGATATA